TCAAAAATCAGCAATATGATGCTGGAGTGTGTAAGAGAAACAGAGTTGAAATAAGAAAATCCAACAAGATACTATTAATGGTAAAAGTAGGTTGGCAAATACTTCTAATAGAAACTCTATCAATGTGCATTCAAACACCAGCACTTCCTCAAGCCTTGTAGCCTCTGCTATTTCTCTTTCCTCTTGCTCGCTCAAACTTCCTTCCCTTTGCGCGAACATAAGGCTTTGTGTGGCTGTGTGGGACACCAGGTGCTTTACCAAAGTGCTTAACGGCCTCCCTTGAGTTCTTTGGACCCCTAAGCAAAACCTGATCAAGAAAGCATTACAAAACAAATGACTAGCCAATGTTACCTCTACCATGAATACATAATCATTTCCTATGCAGGACGAGATTCAAACCACAATTCTAAAAACACCTCGGTTTGTTATTATATACTAGTGAAGAGCACTACAGCATATTCTCTAATTATTCACTTGATTGATGAAAGAAAAGGCATAAAAATGCAAACTGATGAGAGAGAGAAGTTCCGTACAGTGTTCTGCCCAAGAGGGGCTCTGAGAGCAAGCTGATCAAAGGTCAAACATTCTCCTCCAGCCTTCTCAATCCTAGCTCTAGCTGTTTCCGTGAATCTCAATGCAGTAACCTTGATTTTTGGGACTTCATAAGCTCGAACATCATCGGTAACAGTCCCAACAACAACAGCAATATTGTCCTCCTATCATCATCATACACAAGCCAATTCAGATAAACTGTATAGTACTTCAGTAATATCAAGGGTTATTTACTTTGCTGTACAAGAACAAACAATCCTGGAACATACTCTGATTACAGATCTAACATTTCAATTCTAATATAAATCTCTGCATGGTTGAGGAATAGATTATGCATTGCATAAATAATCATGGGACATAACTTTGCTGTATATGCAAAATTATGCATCACTTTATACAATGTAGGATAAGAAATAAAAAAAGGGACATTCGGAAAAGTTGTATACAAAGATAACCCTCCACCTTCTTCAATAGAAAAAGTGTTTTGAGCAACCTTGGGAGTATTTTTTCCATTTTCATAGTAATCCTGATACTTGTATTAATCCATCCACTAGAATGGATAACTTATCACAGCGAATATAAGTCATCCTAGGATAAGTAACCAAAAAAGGAAATACGCAGTAGTTAATTTCTATCACAAGACTATCTATATTCCTGTCCGGCATATAAATGGCCCCCAAGTGTTAAGCTATATTGTACACTCTGATATGTGAATTCCTCACTCCTTTAGTCCTAATCGCTGCATATTACTACTTTTTAGCAATTTCATTCACATAAATGCTACTCAGGACGTCGTTAATACCATTAACAATTTAACGATGCTAGTATAAAGCAAGAATATTTTGATAACTGCTCGCTGTAGATGTGTCCAATCAAAGATCACTAGCAGGCATGTTTGGATGGTTGTTACATTGTATTTCATTGTGTTGTTGGATAAATTAACTGTTAGTTTGATTGTTATACAAATTTTATTGTATGGTAACACTAAATAAAGGCACATTAGATAGGTCTAGCTCTACACTGTATGCTATTTACTTGTAAGTTTATAATTCAAATTATTGATCATAATATTACACAACGACATAAAATGATACAATCAATACAACATTATGAAACTATCCAAACAGTGTAAGGTGAAACAAAGCTAAAATGAATGAATAAAATACCTTTCCAGTCATGTAAGTAACCAAACGTGATAGAGACAATGGAGCTTTATTGATCTTGCTCATGAAGAGTCTCTTCAGTATCACAGCATTGAACTTACTACCAGTCCTCCGTGATAGAAATCGGTACAACTATTATTCACACAATTAAACATCCAATTCTCAGTATAGTAACCAAAAATGCACTAAATCTATAAAGACAATAGTGAAATAAAATACCTTGACGAGAAGCTTGAGATAAACATCGTCGGATTTTGGTGCAATGCGCTTAGTCTTTTTGGACTTACCTCCGGCAACTAGATCGATACCCTAAATAGAAAATCAAAATAACAAAATCAAGCTATGGCGTCCGTGAAAACAAATGCAGGAATATTCTAAAAAAAAATATTCACCATGATGCTCCGCCTGCTGCTTCTACTTTCCTCCGCCGCCGCCTGCTGCTGATAGGTTTTTCTGTTCGGAGAATGGAAAAATATGATGAAGATTCTTTTTAACCCTTTTTGAAAAAAACCCTAATACAGATTTTTAATGGGCTTGGTTGGTGACAGCCCAATAGGCCCAAGATACTATGTGTGAAGGAGATATCCACAAATAAGAACTTTTTTAGTACGATTATTTAATTTTTGTTCCGTTTAAAAAAAAGTTTAAGGGCCCGTTTGCCCATAAATTTTGCAAGTAAAATTTGGGGAAAAACTTGACAAAATTTTGTTTGTCCATACACTTTTTTATTATTTGGCAAATTTTTTTGGCAAATTTTTCAAATTCCCAAATACTAGAAAAAACTAGTATTTGGGCCGAATTTCGTTATTTGGAAAGTTTTAGAAATTCAATTTTTACCCTTAACTTTTTATTTTATAAAAAAAAAATATTTATTGACACCAACCAATTCAATTAGCTCCCTTCTACATGCATTCTTTTGATTTCATACATTCATTTGTTACAGTTAGTCTTAATGAACTAGCTACTAAATAAAACATGAATTGCATTAATTTTATTTTGGTAGATAAATATTACGTTGTTGATGCTGGTCTACGGAACACAAGAGATTTTTAGCTCCATTCATTGGTATGCGCTATCATTTGCAGGACTACCGAGGAAGTGAAAGAGAGCCTAAGAATGAAAAAGAGCTATTTAACTATAGACATGCTTCTCTACGCAATGTAATTGAATGAACTTTTGGTGCGTGGAAAAGTAGATTCAGAATACTAAGACAATGCATGAACAACTATGAATGTGACATGCAAGTGAAAATAGTAATTGCTTGCGCTGTATTGCATAATTTTTTACGTGAACACCAAAGTAGTGATGGAATATTCAATGAATATGAAAATGATGATATGGTTGTTAATGAAAGTGACGAACTACTGGCTTAGGGTAACAACATTGCTTCATCTTCTCGATCGTCTGATTCGAAAATGCAAGCTCATCGAGAAGAGATTGTTCATAAAATGTGGGAAGATTATATTAAAGAATAGGTTGAACTCTTTCAGATGAGAAAGCATAGGTTCTTCCGTGATTGCAATATTTATTTCCTTTTGTTTTCTTCTCTTTTTTTTTCCCCGAATTTATATTAGTTGTATTTTCATTATCATGATTTGTACCAAGACCTTTTCACTATACGAATATTTACTGTAATGATTCTTGTTGATTTGTTGCGGAAGTCATAAATCTTGTTACGTGAGATTTCTATTGTGCTATGTAATACAAATTTATGGTTAGCTTGATAGTTTTAAAAACTTATGTGTATAAATCATATTTCTTAAAAAAATGAAATATGTTTCTCAAATTCTATGGCCAAACACATGGTAAAATTTCACCCAAATTTTCATCCAAATAATATTTGCCAAAAATATTTGAATATCTATGGCCAAACGCTAGCTAAATTTAATCATAAACTCTAATGAGCAAAACTTGTCTTGTTACGATTTTTGATAAATTACCCCTTTTTGATATATATATATATATAGGATATTGTAAAAAATAGCAAATTAATAATTTAAAATAAATTGAGTAGCTACTGTTTGATTTAATTGTGGCTCATAGCAAACGTTTGTCAGTCGCCTCTCTCCCTAAACTCTCAGTCGCCTCTTTCACATTCTCACTCGTTTCTCTCCCTCTGCTCGACTCTCTCGCTTTGTAGAATAGAAGGGCATAAATTGTGTTTCTGTTTTGTATAAAGCGAGAGAAAATTGTATATACACATGCAAAAATATATATCTTCGTGCTATACAATTAATTATACGATATACAAACATTTTATTTCGATTCAATTGTATACAAATGCAAAATTTATACAATAATTTCAGCGAAATAGGCCAGCGATTATACAATTGCAGCAAAATACAATTTTCTCTCGCTTTATACAACAAAAGTGTATAAATTGTGTTTTTGTTTTGTATAAAGCGAGAGAAAATTGTATATAGAAATGCAAAAACATATATCTTCTTCGTATACACTTATAATTATACAATATACAAACATTTTACTTCGATTCAATTATATACAAATGCAAAATTTATATAGATATTGCAGCGAAATAGGCCAGCGAATTATCGAATGTCGTATTTAAATATACTAATTCATTAATTAATCAATAAGCTATCGATTAGTTCGATATCCGATTAGGAATTAATGGAAAGCTATCGAACGATGTATTGGCTTCACCTTTTCCTCCTCCCTTTTATTTTCATTCACCAATATATTCATCTTCCATCAAACAAAGAAAAAAAACTTTAGCCCTACTTAAGCTGGTAATTTAGTAATTGTAAAATCATAGTAAGAGACATATGAAATTCTAAATTTTGAGAATGCATGAATATAAATATTTACATACGGTAAAAATATAATCACGATAAGTCCTTAAAAAATTAACAATTTACCCAATAAAAAAATTGATAATCCGTAATTACACTAACAAATAATTACAATAAAATTTAAATTTATTCACCAACAACTAATTTAATAATTTAATAATCCAATATTATAAGCTAGTAAGTCAAATTTGTGATTGAGTTATCGATCATTATATGTTTCAAAATAACTACTCCCAACTAATCGTATTTATTTTATGGAAGCATCATTGCTAAAATTAGAATGTAAAATTTTATGTTACTTGTACTAATTATCCATAAATCGCCAAATAATTGCCTTTAATTATTACAAAAAGATTGGTCCTACTTACTATTGTACCCCTGTCTCAGCCATATATTTTGGAATTCACAAAGGGGTAAAATAGTCATTTACCATTACTTTTTCATTTCAATGTCTCCCAGCTATATCTTCCTGTCAATAATTTTCTCCGTATTCATTTCCTCTTCCCTACATTCCCTCCGTGTGTAACGGCCCCGTCGTTCTAGCAGTTACTCTTTTTAACGGTGACAGTAGATACACAGCTGGCGATGAACACGTCGAAGATGCGCCGGAAAGTTGTTCCGGCGGTAGAAAACGGAGACTCCGCCGACAAACTTGACCAGGTCCTCCTATCCGCCGCCATCTGCAACGGTGAAGATGTTGGGCCTTTCGTGCGTAAGGGTTTTGCTTCCGGTAAGCCGGAGACAGTACTTCTTCATCTCCGTCACTTTGCTCGATCGAAGGAATCTGAAATTGAAGATGTATGTAGAGCACACTACGAGGACTTCATCACCGCCGTTGACGATCTCCGATCTCTGCTCTCCGATGTTGATTCTCTTAAATCGTCCCTGTCAAACTCGAACAGTCAACTTCAGTCCGTTGCTGTGCCTTTGCTAACCACTCTTGACTCATTCGTTGAAGCTCGAAACAAATGCAAAAACATTACTCTTGCTATTCAATCGCTTCGGACTTGCGTTCAGCTTGTCGAGCTTTGCTCCCGAGCCAATCGTCATCTTTCAGAGAATAATTTTTACATGGCGTTGAAGTGTGTGGACTCGATTGAGAGAGAGTTTATGAACAAAACACCATCTACTACTCTCAGGCGAATGCTTGAGAAGCAGATCCCTGCGATTCGTTCACATATTGAACGGAGAATCACCAAAGAGTTTGGTGATTGGCTTGTCGAGATCCGTGTAGTTAGCCGAAATTTAGGGCAACTAGCTATCGGACAAGCATCAGCATCAAGACAGAGAGAAGAAGAGCTCAGAATCAAGCAACGACAAGCTGAGGAGCAGAGTAGACTCAGTCTTCGGGATTGTGTTTATGCTCTTGAAGAAGAAGACGATGACGGATTTAATGGGATCAGTGATGACGGAAAGGATGGTTACAGCAATGGAAGTAATGGAATGTTAGGGTTTGATTTGACGCCGTTGTATAGGGCTTATCACATAAACCAAACTCTAGGACTTGAAGATCGATTCAAAAAGTACTATTTTGAGAATCGCAAGCTTCAATTGACTTCAGATTTTCAGGTATCTTCAATGACGCCCTTCCTTGAATCTCATCAGACATTTTTTGCCCAAATTGCTGGTTTTTTCATTGTGGAAGATCGAGTCTTGAGGACTGGTGGTAAGTTGGTTTCCAAAATGGAGGTGGAGAATTTATGGGATACTGCTATGAGTAAAATGTGTTCTGTTTTGGAAGATCAGTTCTCTAGAATGCAAACTGCGAATCATTTGTTATTAATCAAGGACTATGTGAGTTTGCTTAGTGTCACATTGCGTAGATATGGATACCCTGTTGAGGCTTTGCTAGACGTCTTGAGCAAGCACAGGGATAAGTATCATGAGCTCTTGTTGTCTGATTGTCGAAAGCAGATAACTGAGGCTCTTGCTGCCGATAAATTTGAGCAGATGTATATGAAAAAGGAATATGAGTATTCCATGAATGTGTTATCATTCCAGTTACAGACGTCAAATATTATGCCTGCATTTCCTTATGTTGCACCGTTTTCGTGTACGGTGCCTGATTGCTGTAGAATAGTGCGGTCCTTTATCGAGGATTCAGTTAGTTTTATGTCACATGGTGGTCAGCTTGATTTCTATGATGTGGTGAAGAAGTACTTGGATCGGCTTTTAACTGAAGTCCTGGATGGAGCCCTGTTGAAGCTCATTCATACGTCTATCGGTGGTGTTACCCAAGCAATGCAGATGGCAGCTAACATGGCTGTGTTTGAACGCGCTTGTGATTTTTTCTTTCGTCATGCTGCACAGCTTTCAGGGATTCCATTGAGAATGGCAGAGAGGGGGAGGAGACTGTTCCCTTTGACTAAAGCCCGCGATGCTGCTGAAGAGATGCTTTCAGGTCTGCTTAAGCAAAAGGTTGATGGGTTCCTTTTGTTGATTGAGAATGTGAATTGGATGGCCGATGATCCTCTACAGAGTGGAAATGAATATGTGCATGAGGTGATTATTTTTCTTGAAACACTAACTTCTACTGCCCAGCAAATATTGCCTGTTCAAGTTCTGAAGAGAGTTTTGCAAGATGTTCTGTGTCATATATCAGAGATGATTGTTGGGGCTTTACTGGGGGAATCAGTTAAAAGGTTCAACGTGAATGCTGTTATGGCTCTTGATGTTGATATCCGTATGTTGGAATCATTTGCTGAAAACCAAGCTCCTCTCCTATCTGAAGCAGATGCTAGTCAGCTGAAAGCAGCATTGGGCGAGTCCAGGCAGTTGGTTAATCTACTCTTAAGCAATCACCCGGAAAATTTCCTGAATCCAGTTATTAGAGAGAGAAGTTATAATGCTTTGGACTACCGCAAAGTTGTTACTATCTCGGAAAAGATGAAGGATCAAAGTGACAGACTTTTTGGGTCTTTTGGCACAAGGGGAGCTAAGCAGAACACTAAAAAGAAATCTCTTGATGCATTAATTAAAAGATTGAAGGACGTCAACTGAGTCTGCGAATCTCTGTATGTTATGTTCCTTAGGGAGATCTCCATATTGTAGTTGTGTTGATTACTTGCTGATTTCATATCTAGCTTCCTTTTTTTCTGCAAATTGCCTACCATTTTACGTAATTTTTTCCTCCCCTAGTTCCACATTGATTGCTGTATTATTCTTCAGAGCATACATATTCTTTTGCAACTCAGATATAGTCTTTTTATCTCATGAAACTAGTCTCTTCTCGTTTGGCTTCTTTTTCCGTAGAATAATTACATCTTCTCTTCGATTTATTTGCTGTATTGTATCTCTCTATCGTATAATCATATATTTGCTGCTGTGTCTTATGAGTTACACAACACTTTCTGCTTAACTTGGCAAAACTTCAGCTTGCATATGAGAAATGGCTTCAAATACCAGGTGAACCTGACATTTACAGGATGATATTGGATTTATTTATACAGTGATTCTAATAGATTTCCTTTTCTCATTAAACCTGTAGCTTTAGTACTAGTTTGACTGTGATTGTTTGAGAACAGAATATTTATGGAATAATTTCATTAAGAGACTTGTAATTACTTGTTACTGGACTAGAATAAGACACGGTAGCTAGTCCAGCTAAAAAGTTGAGGGACTTGTACGCATTTTTAATAATCACGGTGTTCGAATCAGTATTTGATTCAACTACCAATCCAATGGACTATTTGTTGTACAAATTATATTAATGAAACGTGGACAACGAAACAGAGCAACAAACAAGTTAGTCATACCTATAAAACAAACATCTGTCAACCTCATATCTTACCATACTATGCATTCACCCTTATAAAAAAAAACGGTGAACTTTGGAACAACGAAAAACATCAATGTTCACAGAAATGTCAATAGCTTCAACAAGAAGTATTTTTTACCTCTTTCTCTTCTTTTTTGCCACTGCAGTTTCAAGAAATGAGAAGCTATCAGCTTATGAAGAGCTACAGCGTTATGATTTCCCAATGGGGATTCTTCCAAAAGGAGTAAAAGACTACAAATTAAACCCCAAAACAGGTGAATTCTCAGCTTATCTTAATTCTACCTGCAGCTTCAAATTGGAGAACTCATATCAACTGAATTACAAGCCTGTTATAAAAGGAGTTATATCTAAAGGCAGGCTTAGGAAACTGTGTGGTGTTAGTGTAAAGGTGGTGTTGCTATGGCTTAACATTGTTGAAGTTAACAGAAAAGGTAAGAATCTTGAGTTTTCAGTTGGACTCGCTTCGGCGAATTTTCCGGTTGAGAATTTTGAGGAATGTCCACAGTGTGGACGTGGATTGAATTGTGTTGATGAAGATGACAATGTTGTGTCTTCCTTTTAACTACTTTGATTGAAATCTAGTTGTTTTTTTTTTTTTGTTTTCTGGTGGTGGAAATGATGTGTTTTTTTGAATAGCTATGGTATTTAGGGCTATTTGATCACGAAATATGTATCTTATGCAACGAAGATTTTGGATTTGAACTTTGTGTATAGATAATATTGTTAACGAGTTTATGGTTCATTACGTTAATCACTCGAGTTAAACACCTACACTTGTTTAGAGCACTATTGGCATGGCATTATGCAATGAATCTTTAGGGTTGTACAAGCTGTAATAGTAATGGAAAAACCTCCTGTCCCGAGCGGGCTTAAGCCATTCTTATACTAAAGAATTCTCTGACCTCTATCCACGGGTGGAGCGAAGGTTAAGAGTTTGGGATTCTAAATCAATTTTTTGGGTTAGGTTAAGAGTTTGAGATTCTAAATCAATTTTTTGGGTTCACATTTAAATATACATAAAAAAAATTTAAAAAAATATAATTATAGAGTCTAGTGAATTCGTTCGAACTCATGAATCCTACCTGATTCTGACGACTCTCCTATAAAGGAAGAGTAATTTTAGGTAATACTGTCCTTATAAATAAAATTGGTGAAAGGGTACACGAGGAAACAAATTTCATCTACTTACATCGTAAATGTGGATACCTAGAAACCTTATGATGCAACTATTGAGGGACAAGTTCAATATGTTCTTCGTTTCAAATTTGGATAATAAGCGTTTCGAGTTTGTATTGAAGCTTTGATTTAATCCTGCACTGCAGGATCCATTCTGAGTAGTGTTTTTAGCGAGATTTTCTCAATATCAGATTTCGAATTTAAGACCTCTAATTAAGGAGTTTTGATTAAATTTGAATTGCGCACTGCAAAAGGTTTATTTGATGGTGGTGTTTTTCATAGGATTTTTCCCATATTCAAGGTTTGCTCGAGATCTTTAGTTAAAATGCTTTGACTAAATCTGAGTTTTGTACTACAAGGATCATACAATGATATTTCTAACAAGATTTTTTCTATATTCAAGATTTAAATTCAAAATCTCTGCTCTAACAAGATTTTTTCTATATTCAAGATTTAAATTCAAAATCTCTCCTCAAGGACGAAAGGGTTAAAATGACACTATTTAGAGGGTCTTTTGTAAAGGTCCCTTCTTGGACCTTGGACAGGGATTTGTATGCCATAACGTAGCTTTCCCCAAATCATTATCATATTAGTTACTCGTTCACTTTTAATTGTTATAATTTATTTTAGAATCAAATAATAAAAATTTTGATTAATATTTTATAATGATTTTTTCATTATATTAATAGGTAAAAAATTGCCATTTATAGAATTTTTATATAACTTTTGAGTGTCTGAATTTTTTTGTTTAAAATATTAAATTAATATGAACTAGTTTAATTTTGAAATTAATTAAATTGATAATGTAACATGACAGTTAAAAGTGGACGAAGAGATTATCAAATTAAGAAAAAAACTTAAATCATTTACGAGCTCTTAAAGTTGTTCGCGTATTTCACTTTGACACTTTAACGACGACCTGTACCTATTGAACACCTATACTAGCTTGAATTACGAGTATTCGAACATTTTTTTTTGACAACCAGCTAATTAAGAAACCTGTAACCAATAAATTGTGTAAAGTTACTAAAATTTGAAAAATTTGCATGTTCAAAGATATATTATTACCATATCTTTTTTTCTTTCTCCTTTCATAAAATTTTACATGTCAACACTTATCAAATTAGATAAGCTAGTCATGTAACTTGCTTTGCTCAAAGTTTAGCCTGTTTGCTCTTTTAAATTACATATAACCTAAACAAACGTAAACGAATGAAAGAAGCATTTTTTTATAGAATTATAAGTGAATCAAAGTCGAAGCCGAATTAAGATAGCTTGACTATCAAGTTGATAGGCAAAAAAATGAAGGATAGAATATGTGAAGTATATTATACACCTATCGTATTATCTATTAGTCAACTTTAAGCGGCGCTGAATGACTTAAATTTCATTTCTTTAGAAAAAAATGGTGAAAAGTATTAAATGTAATAAAAATAATGTGCCTAGAGATGCAAGCTTTGGTCAAATTTTGTAATGTAGCTTAGAAAACAAGACAAAAATATATTAATGACAACCCTTCTTTCAGTCCCAACAGTTCTCATCACACTCCTAATTTTTCTCACCTACTTCCCCATAGAAGCTAAAAAAGAAATAGCAGTTCATAGTGGTTAAGAATAATAATTTAAAGAATGTGTCATTTTTTTTTAATTATTTGGTAATTAAGACTTAATATATTCTATTAATTTAAATTTGTATGCATCTCATCATTACCTATTAAGGAATAATGTTCCCTTTTTTTTTTCAAGAACATCTTTCTAACTATATTCCAAACTTCAATTATATCCTTAGAGTATTCAGTAGAAAACATTTTTAAGTATTTAAAATGGAAAATTTTCATCCTTCTATTTGAATTTATTGGACAACGATTAAATTTCTCAAAAATTGAGCCATTTCTTCGTAATTATATGTTATTCTGTATACATCAAGAATATTATCGTGAACTTTTTCAGTAATTAAGTTCAGCATTATGAAAAAGAAATTCATTTGACAGTTTTATCATTTATTTTTTCATGTAATTTGATATTAAATATATTTTAGTTGAAATATATTTCTTCTCAGTTGATATGCTAGCTAGAAGCAGCGCTTATTGAAGATTTTTTATTCTAATACTATAGAATGAAACTCAAATACGAGACATAATCAATATTTTAATCACTTCTATATTAAATTGACTGTAACATTTATTGATCTAAATACAATCTAGCTTTGTAAAAGGTAAATATATTTAAGTCCAGCTTCTTTCAGTTACTAATGTTAAAAAGAGCAGGTCGTGTATTATCACACCTTTCAAATATTTTTTTATTATAGTAAGCAGTAGTGTCTAAGATTTTAAATATTTTTTTAGGAACTTCTTACACTAGGTAATGAAATTAGACAGAAAAACTTTTGTTGATAATCACGTGAACTATTCATGTTTTGTAAGATCCCTTAATTTTTTTGAAAATATCTAATAAAAGGATGAAAATTATTCACTTTTAAATACTTGAATAATGTTTCCTGATAAAATTAAACTTTGAGGATATAGTTAAATTTGAGGTATAATTTAACAATATTTTTTAAAAAAAACTCTTCGAATCTCATATTTCAATTCACACCACGAAAAATCAAAAACTTCATATTCAAAACCAAAATTTAATTTTTTTTATTAAAGATTAAACGGTCACATTCATTGTGTCATTTCAAACTTATTTGGGCATCACCATTGAAGGTGTTGTAATAGGGTAAAAATAAGCATTACATACTCTATATAAATTCATATGTAATACACCTATTTATGTTATTGGTAACTACGATTGGTGTATTTTTTATATTTGCAAGGAATGAGTTTAAACATTTTATTTTATTTTTAAAGAATTTTCTATGAAATTAAAAATATTATGATATTTAAAAATTTATTAGTTTCTATAAGAATCTTATAATTAAATTATGGGAGTAGATAATTGTTGTAAATCGCTCAAGTTGATCTTTTCACCAAACAATATGTCAAAGAAGAGGACACGTGCTGACCCGTAGAGTTCTCACGTGCAGCGTGTGGGTTCTTGGGTTTGCCCACGTGAAGTGTGAGGAAGTAGAAAAAATAAATTTTATCTTTTCTTCTAAGGTATTTTGATTTTGCGTAAATTTAAGAAAGAGATTTTTAAAATTTATGATGTAAAAAAATATTACATAATTGTGGATTTTATTAAGAATAAAATAGCTACTTTATTTTTAAATTGTTATTCATTCCGTTTATTATAATTTGATAAGTACACTAAAATAATTGTCCTAACTAATTGTCAATTTAAATAATTAACAAATAATTAGTTATGTTTTTTCAATTTTGTCCTTAATAATTACATAGCTACTTAAATAGTTATCTAAACGAATTGTTGATTTTAAACAATCAATAAACTGTTAGTGATTTTATAATACTAATTTCAAAAAGTAATCATTTTAATGTTAAACGACTACTTTAATGTGAAAAAAGTTGTTTAGACCATTTTAATTATGATTAGTAGTAAGGTTATATTAATAAAATTGCACCTTATATTAATTTTTTTTTCAAGGACATGATTTTATCATACAATCAATAGTGAATGAAGGGAATACTTAATATAGAAATGTGTCAATCTTTTTGAGATCGACTAAAAAGAAAAATAAAGAGAAAATGTCAAAAATCACATACTGTTACGACAAATGTACTATTTGTCCCTTATAAGTTTATGACTACATAAAATGCTATATACCCAATTTACACTTATAACTTGATATTTATCATCTTAAATGTGTGTGGAGTGTTATTTTTATATAAAGTTATATAAATTGTGTTTCTAATTGTATAAAGCGAGAGAAAATTATATAAACACATTCAAATACATGTATTTTTATCATATACGCTTATAATTATTACAATAAAAGTACTCCCCTGTCCAATCTCTCTCTTTCTCGTATTATACAAATTCAAATTGTATATAATTTATCTATTTCTCGTTTTATACAATTCGATTCAGTTGTATATTCCCTACCAAAGTCTCTTTTGTCTTTCTCTCTTTCTCATTTTATACAAATTCAAATCATATAATCGTTCTATACACTTATAATTATACACTTCGTTCTATGCAATTCTCTAGCCAAGTCTCTTTATCTTTCTCTTTTTATACACTTTCTTTTATACAATTCACTTAAATTGTATATGTACAGCAAATTATACATATATATGTTTGCTATACAACGCAATTATGCAAACTTTGTTATAGTATACAAATATAAATTTTATATTCGCTATATGTGAAAGTTGCACTTACAGAAAAACTTAAACTGATATAATAATATAAGTGTTGTACATTAATCTGATGCACGAATACATTAATCGTTAAGTAAGATACATTATATTTTACACATGATACACTAATATAATATAACTTTTATACATGATAAGCTAATTTAATGCTCGAGATACATTGCAACAAGATGATAAAATAATTCATCGGCAATTACTTATTTTGATATAGCAATATTATTTTTATCTTTGATTAGAAAATAATTAATTAATTCTAAAATAACTTATTTCCGTTGTCTTCCCCATTTACCCAACGTTTTTCATAGGGCTACACCATAGCTACTCAATAGTTCAAGTTTCAAATTCAAGCTCTTCAATATTTAAGATTAATATCTCAATTTCAAATTAAAATAAATAAGAGTAATATCTCAACTTCAAGTTAATTTAATTTAACTACTAACCAGATATGCCTTCTGTAGCTTTTCCCTTATGCATTTTCCTCCTCCTACTCTTTGCAGCTTCTCCGGTCATCGGCGATGAGGATTCTCAGTCCCCGACGGCATACGAGATTCTACAGGAATACGATATTCCGGCAGGGATACTTCCGAAGGGCGTAACAAGGTACGAACTCGACAAAACAACGGGCAATTTCGCCGTTTACTTTAACAAATCGTGCAGTTTCAGCATAAGCGGCTATGATCTCAAGTATATGAGTAAAATTACTGGTAAAATCTCTAAGGATCGGCTTGCGAACTTGAAAGGCGTACAGGTGAAACTGCTTTTTTTTTTTGTCAATATTGTGGGAGTTACTCGTGACGGCGATGATCTCGGTTTCTCCGTCGGTGTTTCTTCTGTTGATTTTGCAATTGAGTACTTCTATGAACCGCCAGAGTGTGGATGTGGATTTGATTGTGTCAATTCTGGAGAAAACGGTACTGGTGAGTTCAATTTAAAGCAGCTTATCTCTTCCACTTGAATTGTTAACTAAAATTTTCAGAGATTGGCTGTAAATTCAGTTGATTTGGGATGGAATTTGGAATTAGGGCAACTTTGTATTTCAGAATCCCACGGGACTGGAAGCATATGCTTTTGATGCTCCTTTAGAATGAATATGTATTTTTTTTCATATATCTCCGTGGACTCTTATGGAAATTGAAATAAATAAAATTTTCTTTTATTCGCTACATATTAATTTTTAATTTTAATTTATGTGATATAAATAAACTTGAAAAATTTATTATTTTTTCTGAAATATTTTAACTTGCTAATTATTAGAATTTATTAACAGTTTATATTAATTTTAAATAATATATATTATTCTTTTTATTTTAATTTTCGTGACACATGTGACATGTCTAATTAGGAGAGTCCTAAATGTTCTTTTAAAAGTATTTTTTTATCAATAAGAATTCATGTTTTACTAATAGAATTTTAAAAATTGATTTAATTTTTTTAAAAATATTTTAAATTGTTAATTATTATTTTTTATAGTTCTTTTGACGTCATTTTATTGTAATTTTAGCATCATTAATACATGATAGAGTATTTTAAGTTGTTAACTATTATGATTTATAAAATTTCAAACATATGACGTGTGTTTAAGATTAGTATGTTTATTGCCTCTTATCAAATAGTAAAAATACTTTAAGTCTTTAATTATTATAATTTATAGTGTATGTTATGTAATTTTTAAAGTAATATCCGTATAAATAAATACTTGATAAATTAATATTTTCTCTAGAATAATTATTTTCTCCGATTTTGATTTGGGCCAATGAAAAAATTATGAATTTTGATAAGATAATAGATAATATAATTTCTGAAGACGTCTATATAAATATATGGTTCCATTAATATGATAAATTAATAATTCTTTAAAACTACAAATATATCTACTTTTTTTTTATTGCATTCAAAAGCTCTAATATTGTATTTTTAAATTGCACAATAAATTTGTGAAGAGTTCTCTAGATGCAATAAGTGTTGTCTAATGCGCAATTGGTTCCAACGATACAGTATCATCTTCAACATTGCTTTTTCCGACGGTATTCACAATTTCTTCTAATTTCTAAACCTCTAAATATGTATCCCTTTCACCCGAATAATCAAACATGTTATTGCACATCTATTTTATTGAGGTAATCGAGATCATTAATCATGATCTCAAGTTCATAAATGACGTTTTCACAAGTAGGTTCATTCAAATTATCTAAGATTGCAAAAAAAATTATTTGCTATTGTCTCTCGTTGAACATTTGTTGTCCAAATAGAAATCTCAAAATTCATAGCATACAAAATATTGATCTTTGCTGCAACAATTTGTGCCACTTCATAACTTTTTAATATCTCATGATAAAATTTGTTTGATAGTACATCTTGAAAGCTCTTATTATCACAACATTACAAGGTTGAAATCAGTAAGATACAATAATCTTGACGTATTTTATATATATTGTTTTTATATTAAATCAATAAATATGATACATAAATTAGTAAGATACAATGATTGATATAATCAAAATTAAGTTTCATCAAATTTCAAATCGTTCTTTAAACTAATAAATATTAATTTATCGATTAAATAATATCGTTATGAAATAATAAAATTTCACAATCCCGCTTATATCAATTTATAAATTTTTTACTATATCATAATTTATAATATCTTAAATGTAATTTTTAAGTATACTGTAAATTTTTTTAAAAAAAGTAAGATAAATGAATTTAAATAATTTTTTAAAAAAAATAGAATGGAAAGGGATTGTGAGGTGGGCTCCATATTTATTAAGAGACTTGGAATGGCCCACATGCATGGGAAAATCAAAGAATTTTTCGGCTGAGGCAAAGTAAAAAACAAAATACAGACGCGCTTTGTCATTTATTTTTTATGGACGACTTTCACGTATAGCAAATAAAAAATTTATATTTGTATGTTATAGCAAAATTTTGTATAATTGCACTCCATAGCAAACATAAAACTGTATAATTTGCTATACATATACAATTGTATAATTCGCTGGCCTATTTTGCTGCAATTGTATAATTTGTTTTGCATACAGTTGAATCGAATTAAAATATATGTATATTGCATAATTATAAGTGTATAGCAAGAAGATATATACTTTTCTCGCTTTATACAAAAATAGAAACACAATATATACACTTCTGTTGTATAAAGCTAGAGAAAATTGTATTTCACTGCAATTGTATAATTCGCAATTGTATAATTCGTTGGCCTTTTTCTCTGCAATATTTGAAGTAAAATGTTTGTAAATTGTATAATTAAGTGTATAACACGAAGATATACATTTTTGCATGTGAATATACAATTTTCTCTCGCTTTATACAAAACAGAAATAAAATTATACACTTCTGTGTATAAAGCGAGAGAGGCGAGCGAGAATGGAGAGTGGCGAGCGAGATTTTTGGAGGAGAGACGCTGGCAAATTTTAGCTAATGTTTACTATGGAGCACAATTAAATCAAACCCTAGTTATTCCATTTAATTTAGGTTATTAGTTTGCTATTATATACAATTTTCCCATTTTTTAAAGTATAAATTATAGGAACCACATATTATAAATACAAAATGACCATTTGTCCCTTTAAGAATTGAAATTACTAAAAATCCCTTAAAAATCAAAGAAGCGGGATACATCACTCTGGCGCGGGATACATAAGTACTGATACATCCCATTTTAACAGCTGCTGCGATTAATTAGGATTAATTATCGTGATTTCTGTTATTATTAACTGAAATCACGTTATTAAAGGTCATCAGATTGTGTAACTGATTAGTAAATTCAAATTTTAAATCAGATGAGCTTCATAATTCAAAAATATTCTTGTAAAGGTTGATCTGCATATTAAGAATTTAAAAAAAAAAGTTTTGAAGATGAATATCTCAATTCTGCTGCGGCATTCTGGAATTTGGGTAATCGATATTAATTATGAAGGTTACAAAGTTGATGGAATTGTTGTTGGCCGAAGATTTGAGGAGATATTGATTGTAAACGCATCTAAAAGTTCAAAGATGAAGGTATTTATCAATTTCATTGACTTTCTGTTTTATGTATCAGATACAAATTATTTTTCAATGTTAATTGTTTTTTTTAAAAATGATATATAAATTGTATATTACGTAATGTATCACTAACTTCTTAAATTTTTAGGTTGTTCCATCATCTGAATATATTTTCACAGTTCATGAATCCGAAAAAAGATACATTGTATGCCTTGAGAGGAAAACTTGCACATGTGGAAGGTTTCAACATGATGAGATACCTTGCGCACACGCAATTGCAGTTTTGAAGCACAAGAATGTTACCAATTTGCACCCATATTGCTCTGATTACTACAAGTCGTATGCATTAGAAAAAACGTACGAGGTTGTAATGGTTCCAATGCCAGATAAGGATGATTGGAACGTTCCAGAATGTGTTTTAGATAAAATTGTCCGGCCACCTAGGTACAGAAGGTTGGCTGGACGACCAAGAAAGCGAAGAAAGAAAAATGCGGATGAGAAAATAACAGTGAACAATAATTGTTGTGGGCAGTGTGGACAAGAAGGACATAACAGGAGAACTTGTACTTTCTTCCCGAAAGAGAATTGAAAGAATGTTTTAAAATAGGACATTAGTGTTCATGGTACTTCTATCCATGTTTTTCTTTATAATTTTGATTAAATAAAGTGTATTGGTTACACAACTTAATTTGATGTTCAAATATATTGTATTTTGAGATATTCAAGTGTACAAAAAAATTGATTTGTTCAATTGTTTACTATATGGTTCGTGTATACATACTTATGAGTTATAAATTTGATATATTATATTCAACAGTGTTTGGGTTTCAGTGTAACAGTAATTCAACCTGAGTTTATTTGTGTAACTTATGTATCAGATACATTCATTTGAGTGAAAAATATATTATATTTTTCGTGTATACTCCATCATGAGTTATTCTAGTGTCCCAAAACTTGACTTGTTCAAATGTGTACGACATGTTTAGTGTGTAAAGCCTTATGAACTATAATTTTGATATAGTACATTCTAGTGGTACGTTTCACTGTAATATTAATCAGGGTTAAGTTTGTTTATGTATATGATGTATCATATACATTCATATAATTCAAGTTGCTAAATATATAACTGCAATATTTTTTCATGTATATATTATACTTATGTATCATATACATCATTTTTATAAGTGAAAAATACTTAATAATGTATCATACACATTAGAACTTAAGTGTCATATACTTCATTTTGTAAATTAAATGTCAAAATTACTTAAACTGAAACAGTAAAAAATTTGTAAAGAAACAACTGTTTCTAAAACAATAACTTGAAAAAACATAACATTCATAGCTAACAAAAAATTGTAATACCAATAAGCTTTTAGAAAAACACAAAAGATAATTGTCTTCAACAAAAAACAACATATAAACTTGTTCATCCTGTCCCAGCTAATTACTAATCTATGTTAACAATGTCATCTTCAGTTGGTGTTGTGAATTGATCCTTAGGCTTTGGTGTATCGTCATTGTCACTTATGTATCCACCATTGACCTTGTCACTGCCGTATCTCCATAACAATGCAGCATATCTATTGCGTAGGTAATTTGCAAGATGTCTATCAGTATCAGGTGGTATAACAAGTTGGTCACTCAAAAACTCTGCAAATGTAGCTACGTATAACCCGCAGTCCCTACAATGGATGCACCGGAATTTTTTTAATAACATAATGCATACCCTGTTTATACAAAAAATAAAATAACATAATTCATGCACTGCATTATATGAATATATATGATACATTAAATTTTAATTTATAAGACAAAGAAATCATAATATGTATATGATACATCTTATTAACTAAACTTATAAACATTGTAAATAGACTTAGTGTATCTGATACATCCCACAACTGTACCACAAAATTTTATTTTACTAATAATAACCCACAAAATTATTACCATATTATAGACCTTAAAACTGAAAACCACGTAATGCTTTTAAGATGTATATGATACATTCTATAAGTGGTACCTATTATATTCTATAACAACCATCATATTAAGTTTTAATTGAATGTATATGATACATTAAAGTTAAATTATAAGACATAAGAATCATAATATGTATATGATACATTTTATTAACTGAACTTATAAACATTGTAAA